TATGCACCTAGCACTTTAATTTCTGAGAAGCACTTCATCTAGAGAATGGAGTTCTTATTCATTGGAATACTTTGGATTTCATTGGCATTCGGTTGTTGAAGTAATTTTACATTTTCTATTTGAACTACTTAGGGAAATATGAGATGACAACCCTTGAATTTCCTGCTTAGGGTCTCCTTTTTGTGTGAGCACAATGAGTTTTAAAACTCAAGGTAAGTATTGACTGATGTGTATTTTGTAGAGCTGCACCCTTTTTTTTTTTTTTTTTGTAGTTAGTAGCGCCAAAATGAGATAGGGTCTTGCTGTGTTGCCCAGGTTGGAGTACAGTGGCACAGTTATGGCTCACTGCTGAGTACCTGGTACTATAGGCACAAGCTACCAATGATAGTCTGCTCATTTTTATTTATTTATTTTAAAGGCAGTGTCATAGTTTGCCCAGGCTCTTCTTGAGCTCCCAGCTCAAGCGATCTTCTTGCCTTTGCCTCCCAGAGTGCTGTGATTACAGGTGTGAGCCAGTACGTCTAGCTTATTTTATAATTTTTATGGAGGGACAGTTCTAGTCCCAGAATTTCTAATAATCTGCAGTTGCTTGGTTTGACTTAATTATCTGTACCTCTACTGGGATGCCTGTTCTGCCAGGGTATCCCCAGCATCATCTAACATAGGGTCTGGCACGCAGTTCGTGCTCAGCTATTTTGTTGAATGTTTGAAGCATGGTAAATATGTATTGATAGTCTTAACAAACAGCTTTCATAATTTAGTTTTGATTGAATGCTTCCTTTTTCCAAGGATGCATTTTGATTTTATATCCCATGTTGAATTTTTCTTAAGGCGTGATGATTATGTATCTGGGTTTTGGTAGTTTGTCCTGTCAGTCTCCTTTGATTTGGAAGTTTAATGTTAGAACAAGTGTTTAATTGAGAGGGTGATATGGTGGGAGTAACACTAGGCCTAGAATTGGGACCTGATGTTCTAAGTTGAGCTCTGTGACCTTGGACCAAGACACTGAACTCCCAACCTGTAAAAATGGGAGGGGACAGAACCCGGCTTCGTAGAATTGTTGAGAGGATTAAATGGCAATGTAAAGCGCCTTAGCACAGTGCCCAGCAGATGGTAAGTGCTCAGTAAATGTTAACTGCCACTAATAAATAATTCCATTTGACACACATTGAAAATCGCAAAGTAGAGTTCAAGAGAGATCCGGTGTTCACCTGGATGGCTAAAGCCCGTTTTGAAATCTTTATCTTCTGTTAGACAGTCATTTTCAACGTGAGATTTAAAAGCAATCTTAGATTTTCACACTTTGAAAAATTTGTATAGCCTGGTAGGAAAGTGCTTTGTAATTTTAAAGTGTAGAAACAGGTTTTTCGCTAATCAAAAGCATATAATCTGGAATATATGTTTAATTCTAATGCCACAAGTCCACACTACTTAAAGGTTTACCCAGACTTCATTCACGCAACAAATTGTGGGAGCCTGCAGTCTACTGGCTGGCTCATGTACACTGCAAAGCAAGCCCACTGTGGTCCTGGATTTATATCTTCCTGGCGTTCCAGAGAAACAGGCAGAAACAAACTGGTAAATATAATACAAATTAAAGCACGAGGTGTGGTGGGTAGGACCAGGCATTCGCAGAGCAGTCCAGAAAGTGTGAAGCAGGCTTCGGAGGGGAGGAGATGGGTGTGAGATTCTAGGGGGAGAGGTGATGTCAGTAGAGGCCTGGAGTATGCGCAGCTGTGTGTACCCATTGATGGAAGATGGTTTTGGCAGTTTCTATTTTTATAATATTTTTTCTTAAACTAATTGCAGGGAATTTGAGAATCCTTGAGACTGTTTTGTTTTCGTGTGGTTTTTTATGGGCACCATCCTTTTAAATATAAATCTTTATTCTGGAAAAAAATGCACCTCATCTTCACATTGAGAATAATTTTTAAATTGCCAGTAGTATTGCTTTTTGCTAATCTCTGAACGCTCCCACTCAGAACACAAACAGAGTAAGAAAATCTGTCATGAACTATGTCTAAAGGTGGTGACAAGACGCGTCCAGAACCAAGAACATTTATATTAGCAACATTCATACAAGACAAACTTGCGTCCATATAGGTGTAAACCAATTATTGCAGAAATATCCTGAAAGACTTAAAGAGGGCTACTCACTCCCAAGTGTGGGGTGGCTGGAAAAAAAAGTCAGCTTCTAGGAGTTTCTCCTAGCCAAGAAAAAAAGTTTCCTGCTGGGCAGTCTGCCCCAGTTTTTGACTAACTTGTGGTAAAATTAGTAATGATTGGGGCTTTCTGATCAGTGAAGCGGGGATCCCACCATCTTCCCACTAGCAGTATCTTTTGAGTCCTCTACTGTGTATGAGTGTGGCTCTCCCGGAAGAAGCATTTCATTGCTCATTTGCTGTTGGTCACATATGCGTCTGTTTCATGTCTTCCCTCAAAGGTGAGCATTACTGTGTTTTTATTGCTTCTTGTTTCATAACATTTTGATCAGAAGGAGACTATGACCAGCTTTTAGTTTGGTTATATATTTTGGCATCCAAAGCAGAGAAGTGATTTTCCCAAAGCTATAGAGGAGTTCAGAAATTTGGGGTTCCTGGCTGGCTCCCCCTCCCGCCTTGTCCTTTCTTTTTTAATTGGAGTCCCAGGCTGGAGTGCAGTGGCATGCTTACGGCCACTGCAGCCTTGACCTGCTGGGTTCAGGTGGTCCTTGCAAGTAACTGAAACTACAGGTGTACGCCTACCTAATGTTGTTGTTTTTGTGTGGAGACAAGGTCTCATCAAGTTGCCCAAGCTGGTCTCGAACCTGTGGGCTCAGGTAATTCTCTCACCTCTAGCTTCCCAAAGTGTTGGGATTACAGGCTTAAGCCACCGTGTTCAGCATCCTTACTTTTTTTTTTTT